TCCTCTGCATTGTCTTTTTCTCTCCACCAGCCTGTTCTGAAATTAAGAAAAAAAATTTTTTTTAGTTGTAATTGGACACAATACATTTATTTTATTTATTTTTATATGGTGTTGGGAATCAAACCCAGGGCCTTGCTCGAGCTAAGCTGCTCAATACATAATTGTTTATTAATTTTATTTTTATGTGGCACTAAGGATTGAACTCAGTGCCTCATACTTGTGAGGCAAGCGCTCTACCACTGAGCCCCAGCCCCAGCCCCAGCTTCCAGTATATAATCATTGAGTAAATGTTGCATGAAAAGGTGCAAAAGGCGGGCTCGGTGGTGATTACCTGTAATCCTAGTGACTTGAGAATTAGAAGCAGGAGGATTGTAAATTCAAGGACAGCCTGGCCAACTTAGCAAGACACTGCCTCAAAAAAAAAAAAAAAATGAATTAAAAAGCAGGTGGGCTGTGGTTGTAGTTCTGTGGCAGAGCATCCCTGGTTTAATTCACAGTAATGCAAAATTTTTAAAAAAATGTATGACAGTCCCAAAGAAAATGGCTTGTTTGATCAGCAGGTAGCTGTAGGAGGATGAAGAGAGAAGAAAACTGATAAAAAGTGTGGGCTTGCTAATAAGGAAGTGCCTTGGTTACTTATTCAAGAAACAACATGGTTTATAGAAGATGAAAGAGGAAGATAGCCAGATGTACTGGCAGAGTTTGGAAAAAGAGAAATAGGAAGAAGAGATGAGTAGTTCAATGAGATTCTGAACTTTGGAGAGAGAGAGAGATGGGGATGAAGAATTGTCAGGATCTGGTATTATATGTGCAGATATAGTCTCTCTTGGTTTCTTCCTCAAGAAAATCTTTGGCAAAGTATCCATATTGATGGGTAGAGCATGCCTATGTACATTAGTGGTTACGATTGAAGGCTTTACGTTAGAACCCATTGATTGGGTTCCAGTCTCAGCTTTGGCACTCATCATGTGACTTTGGGCAACTTCTCAGTGCCTGATTTGCTTATCTTTTTATTTTTTACTTTTTAAGTACCAGGGATTGAATTCAGTAGCATTAGGCCACTAAGCCACATCCCTAGCCCTTTTTTGTATTTTATTTAGAAACAGGGTCTCACTGAGTTGCTTAGCACTTCACTGTTGCTGAAGCTGGCTTTGAACTCCTGCCTCAGCCTCTGGTTTGCTTATCTTTGAAATGAGTATAATACTAGTGTCTACCTTGTGTAGCTATTTTCAGGAGTCAATGAGATAATAAGATTGGATATGTTTAACACAGTTCCTGGATTAGTGACAGCCTGAGGTTTGTTAGACTTCATTTGTTTTTCAGAGACACAGAAGTTGATTTAGGAAAGCAGAAGCACATTCAAGAAAGAATGTGGGTTATCTGAACTGAGAAGCTTTGGGCATAAAGCAAGGAATACATTATTGTAAAGCAAGGAATACATTACATTCAAGGGAGGACATTGGCCATCTCCAAAGGCGTAACAGCTGTTAGCCGTCATTTCTATTATTATGATATAGTTTAAAAGATGAGAGATCTATAGGCATTAACAATAAAAAATGTCCAAGTATATTACCACAGTTCATTAAATGAAGATGCAAGTGACAAACACTGCAAATGTAAGATTCCATTTGTATATATATAAAATGAATGTCTGCAGCATACATGCACAGGAATGCCACTCTCCACGATGATGGGTCTCAGGATGGGAACAAGAAAGTCCAGTTTCATTTGGATTATGTCCATGGTGTAGCTGAGGAAACAGACTTAAAAATTAAGTAACTTGCCTAAGGTCATTCTTGAAATGAACTAAGTTGTGATTGAAGTTCAAGTCTGCTTGACTCCATAGTCTGCGATCAGGCAGGAAAAAGAAGGGAAAGGAGTGAGTGATGTCAGGCACTGAAGGAGAGGAAGGCTGGTTGCATCCTGAGGCCTCTCTGGAGGAACAGAGGAGAGCTAGGTAGAACTGGAGCCTGCCAAGGGGCTTAGTGCTGAAATGGTTCTAGGGAGGTTTATTTGGAAGCTGTTGCTAATGGTGCTAATGGGCCCCAGTGAACTGTGAGCCTGTGTGGTCAGAAGAACGTAGGGCATGGAGAAGTGTCTGAAACCAGAGAGGGAGGAGACTGTGCAGGGAGGAAAGGACCCACTCTGGGTGACATTGTAGGTGGTCAGGCACCAACTATGTACAGAACAAGTAAGAGAGTGTTTGGAGGCATGGAGACTGGAGAGGGGATGGTGCAAGTGAGCTTGGTTTCATTGAGTTTAATGTAACAAGCTGCAAGGGAAGTCTGGAGCTAGGGCAGATGTTGTAATTGGAAATCACTATAGGATAAGTGTCCCTTATCTGAAATGCTTGAGACCTGAAGTAGTTCAGATTTTGGAGTTTTTGGATTTTGGAATATTTGCATAGACTTCAGTAGTTGAGCATCCTTAATCCAAAAATCTGAAATCCAAAATGCTCCAAAATCTGAAACTTTTTTTTTTTTTTTTTGTATCAGGGATTGAATCCAGGGACACTTAACCACTGAGCCACATCCCCAGTCCTTTCTATTTTTTATTTTGAGATAGCCTCTTGCTAAGTAGCTTAGGGCCTGGCTAAGTTGATGAGGCAGGCCTGAACTTGTGATCCTCTTGACTCAGTTTACCAAGGTGCTGGGATTACAGATGTGTTATCACTGCATCAAACTAAAATCTGAAATTTTTGAGAGCAACATTTCAGATTTGGGGGCATTTTGGATTAGGGATGCTCAACCTGTAATAAGAACGATAGCTAATATTTATTAACCACTGAATATATGTAGACCCTGTTCTAAATTCTTTACATACAGTGTATTGATTTCATCTAAAAACTCTCTGATGTAGACCCATTTTAAATCCCATTTTTGTAGGTGAAGAAACCAAGTTCACATTTACTGAGCATTTACCGGGTACCAGGCAGGATTTGACTGGCCTGATTTCATTTATTCTCTAAAGCCATATCATGTGATAGGTGCTGTTATTGTCCTTGTCATAAGCATGAGCAAACTGATGTCCTGAGAAATTAAGAAATTTGCCCATGCTTATGCATGGTCAGGCTAGGGCTCAAAACCTGGGGATCCAACTCTAAAGCTGGTGTCCAATACCCCTTTTCAAAAGTTAGAGCAGGAGGTGGTGAGAAAATAAGAAGGGTTTTTCAGGAAGTGTGTTTGTTCAGTACTGACTGTTACAGAGCCAGGAAAGAATAAATCCTGAACTTGACCCTGAGCTGTGCCAACTGGGAAGTGCTTGAGAACTCTTAGAAGTGCAGTTTCATAAGAGGTGTGGTTGAGTAGGGTGCCAGTCTGCAGGGATCAGAAAGCAGAAGCAGAAGCAGAATCAGAGAGGCAACCACAAGTACTATAAGTTCTCTCCTGCCTTGTGTAACTGGCACCCAATAGGCAGGACTGTGTTCCTTTGTACATTCCTGCTTCTCCCTGGTGATGGTTAGCTTGCTTGATTGAGCTTCTCCTTCTCCTACCAAGAATCCTGTTGCCCTGGGTGATCAGAGGTGGTGCCCCACACAGCCTTTGGAACTAAACAGCCAGAATAATCCTGCCTGGAGTTAGGGAAGGAACTCTATAAATCATGGGTTTTTCCAGGACTCCATACCAACAACTGTTTACAGTTTTCATTACACACAACAAAACATCTTAAGTACTAACAAGACTGTTAGTACTTAAAGCTGAAGATGGCCTTACCTGTCATGAGTACTTCTTAATTGGCACCTACAACTTTTTAAGACCCACTCAGCACACTCAAGTTCGCTTTCTCTAGCATCCAGTCTAGGAAAGATCAAAACAACCATTTGCCCAGGGCGGCACCAATTGGCCATGGTATCCGGTGGTTTTATTGCTCTGTAATAAGGTTTCTTATGCTCTTTAAGTTCCTTAATCACCATGTACATGGATTCTCATCTGCCTTTTTCTTTATGCTACCACCAGTGGTTGCCTTAAGATATTAGGCAGTATGCACATTCAGACTTCTGAGAGCTATAAGGCAACTGTTGACACTGTTTACCTCCAGGGACTTGTTATTGGACTTCTGTCTGCCTAAGCAACAGAAACATAGCCTTGGGAACATCTTATTTTGGTTGGAAGGCAGCCTTGGTGGAGGCCTCTGAGGTCCTAGCCTAGGACATTAGCCCACAAATATTTAATTCTTACTGCAGAAAATAATCCCAGACTCTTTGCTCTAGACTTTCTGGCATTTTACTGTGGAACTACTAATGGCAGCTAGACCAAGTGGCACACGTAACCACAGTTTCACACGTGGAGCAATTTTGTAGAACAAGTCCCCCATCTGTTTGGAGCATGGTATGGTGGGCAAACTGAAGCACAGGTTTTTGACAAGACCAGGTGCCTGGTTATGACAGAGCTATCACCTACCCAGGCGTCCTGACTCACTATGGTCAGTACCTTTTCTGCCACAATGAACTGCTCCTGGTGGCTGGTGTACTACCAGAGTCGTAGGGAGTTCATTTCCTTGGCCATAAACCCCACGTCCACGGATGACATCAAGTCAGAAATGGTCAGAGTGCTTACTCTGAGCCAGAATTCCGGCCACAAACGAAACTGGCCTTGTGGCTGAAAGCAGATAACGTGAGGAACTGTTCCACACCATTCCCAGATCTGCCCAAGACGTGCAGCTATGAGGTAATGAGCATTTGGGTTGAGAAGCATCGGCTTTAGGTGTTTCTGTGGCCTCCTTTTCCCGCCGTTTTCCAAAATGCAATGTTTTGAGTGCTCCCTTGCAAAGAGCAGTCTACAGATGAGGTCGCGCTGAAACTTAAACGAAGCGAGTACCTTCGACGCTGGCGGAGCCCTCAGGGTGGAAGCCGAAGCTCTGCCCGCTTACGCGGTGCTGGGAGCACCTAGAAAAGCCTGGAAGCAGCCGCACTTCTCGCCCCGCCCCCTGGCGCCCCAGCGCCGGGCCCGGAGCAGTGGAGAAGGCGGCCTCCCGCCGCCTAGAGGTGCCAAGTCCGGGCGTCCGCTCTGCCCGTGCCACGTCTCTATGGCGACCCTAACGGCCGACTGGGTCGCCGAGCGAGATGAGCGCGGGCGCTGACGGCGGCGGCGCTGCGGCGGCGCTGTCCCGGGAGGGTAGTCCCGTGAAGGATGGCTTCGTCCCGTCGGCACTGGGGACCCGAGAGCAGTAAGTGTGGCGCAGAATAGGGAGGGCGAACTGCGCTGGCCGGCCTGGGCCCGGGGGTGGGGGCGTGACGGCGAGGCCCGGGGCGGTTAGGGGCTTGGGGCGGTGAGGGGGTTGCCAGGAGGGCTCTCCGGGCCACCCGGGGGCCGTTAGCCCGTCTTTACCCGCGTGGAGCAAGAGGGGCTTGGGTGCAGGACGGGCTCTGAAAGCTTTTGGGGAGGCCTTTTAGGGGTCCTGGGGTGAGGAGGCGGCGAGTGAGGGGCCGAGGGACCACCGAGGGACCTGGGGTTGAGATGGTCGGGACCTTAGGCGCCGGCGAGGATAGGCGAAGGAGACCCGCTGAGCGAGCGAGGAGGCGGGGGTGGGAGGCGGCGGCGGCGGCGGCTTGCCGTCGGAGAAAGTGGCCTGCGGCGCCCGCCAGCCCAGCAGAGGCTGAGGCAGGAGCATCGCGAGTTGGAGGCCAGCCTGGGCAACTTAAGGAGAATGAAAAGGCCTGAGCCTGTGGCTCGGTGGTAAAGCTATCCTGGATTCCATCCTCAGTACTGCAAAAAACAAAACAGACGTTCAGTAATTGTTCAGTGAATTATTAGACGAATGAAAATGTGGAAAAAAGTTAGGATGAGAAATAACTTGGAGGGGTAAGAGGGAGTAGGGATTCTTGAGATGTATAGGAAAATGATAGGGGTGTATATGTAAAATGAGAGAAGTCTTAAGCAGAGTACTAAATTTTCACAGGGCGAAGTGGAGACATCAGAGGAAAGAGACTGGTTTAGAACTTTAATCTTAATTTAATCTTTAAGCAGATTTTATCAGATGGGTTTCTTTGTGAGCAACTGCTGTACTGGTAGCATCATCGAAAACCAAATATGCTGTAATGACCCTAGGCTTGTACTGTCAAATTTTGGACATGGGTCTGGGACTTAAGAGATCCCTGGGCAGTGTTCTCTGTAATTTTTTAAGCTAAAATTAATATTTATTTTGTACGGATATTTTAAGTTCTTCATATGTAAACTTACTTTGCTGCCTACACTTTTCATTTTTGACTCAAGTATATTATGAAATTGAATTAACGTGCATTCGGTAACACTAATAAATTTTTTTTAATCCAGAATGTGTTTGTTGGGATGTTTTCCCATTCATCTTGATTCAGGCTGCTTTTAGTGCTGCTTCCTCCTGAAGGAACATCCTTCTGTAAGTCTTGCTTTTCCTCCAGTAGGCTGGCAGAGGACAGTGGAGCAGCCAACACACAAAACTACTGTTTGTGCATGGATAAAAACTGTGGTGATTTTATAGCATCCTGAGCATTTCATGTCCATGAAATAGGAGTTGGGGCTCTGCACCAGGCGCTGCTTCTTGTGTTTCCACTTCTCTTCCAGAGAGGGATGAAGGAGATCCTTTGCGAGAGGCATATTCTCGTGGGGAGATCGTCACCGCTGGAAAGACCAATAATGTTTTGAACCTGTCTTAAGTAGCACTGTATTGTATTGAAAACATATATTTGCTTCACAGTTTAATACAGTTTAATTCTAGAATCTTGCTTTGCATTTCATTGTTTACATAGTTGGGATGCTGTCTATGAGAGAGAACTACAAACTTTTCAAGAATATGGAGATACAGGAGAAGTCTGGTGAGTTAGAAAAGAATCAATTATGATCCAAAATACTATATGTCTATGTGTGTGTACACTTATGTCAAAGAAAACCAAGGCTAAAAATCTTGGGAATTCTGGGTTGAATCTGGTTTAAGTGGGTGGATTTAAAGTATCTCTTTCCTTTTTTAATGACCCAGTTTTAAGTTCATAAGAGTATTAGGAAATTATTTTCATTCCATAGGTACTATTTTGCAATTTGCAATAAAATTTTAAGCCATCAACATATACTGATGTCTGAGATAGCAGTTTTTGAGACATGTTCATGTTTTAATGCTGATATAGAGAAATATTAGTAAATAATACAGGGGCTGGGGAAGTGGCTCAAGCGGTAGCGCGCTCGCCTGGCATGCATGCGGCCTGGGTGCGATACTCAGCACCACATACAACGATGTTGTGTCCGCCAGATACTAAAAAAAATAAATATTAAAATTCTCTCTCTCTCTCAAAAAAATAAATAAAGAAATTCTGATCTTATATAAATAGTAAAGATCAAGAAAAAAAAGACATGTGACTTTTCAATTTATCTAAAAAAAAAAATTAATAATACATCAACCTAGTGTATTCTCTTTTGAGTTTTTGAAGGTGTTTTCTCCTAAATAACAATATAGACAAGTTTAGGTAGTCACAAATACTCTACTCACTTTCAAAAAAGACTTAATTTGGGGTATGATATACAGTTTAAATAAATTGGAGTTGTAACTTTTGCTCTGTATCTGTTATTTGTAACTTATTCTGTTTCTAACAGGTTTGGGGAAGAGAGTATGAATCGACTAATAAAGTGGATGCAGAAACACAAGATTCCACTGGATGCTTCAGTGCTTGATATTGGAACTGGAAATGGTGTTTTCCTGGTTGAACTTGTTGGTACTTTTAGTGTTCATGTGTTTAAACACAGTTTTAAATGAAATCATTAAGTCTTAAAATTGAGGATATTAATCATCTGTAATGAAGCAGTCATACCATCTTCTCTGAGAAGTCACATGATACAAAAGTGATACTGCATGGATTGTAAGAAAGCACTAAATGAATAGTGCCAGTCAGAATCCCAAATGCTATGATCCTGGATGTTGAAATCCCCAAAGATCAAAACCTCTAAAGTCTAAAATCCTGAGAATTACAATACTGAAAGATTAAATTCTGAATTTTTAGATCCTGGAAGCCAAAAATCCTGAAAAACGGCAAATTCTATTTTTTAAAAAAAGACTATATAAGTGGGTAGGAAGTTGAATTCTGAGGAAAGGATTAATATATTTTCAGTTATATCCATCATAGTTGTAAAATGAATACTGAGAAACTTGGCTAAGCATTATTTTTGGTGTGTGTTTGTGAGATTGCTTTCCAGAGGAAGTTAATACCTGAGTCTGGCTGAATCTGAGTAGGTGGGGAAGGTGCCCCTCAATGTGGGTGCGCATCATCCAGTAGCCTGGAGGCCTTGAGAGAAGAAACAAAACTAAAAAGTTTTTTCTGCTGTTTTAGACATGAGAACTTCTGACCTTTGGATCTCAGGACTTAACATCAGTTGCTTCTGGGCCATTGTTAGGGTCTTTTGGCCTTGGAGTAAGAGTTAACACCATTGGCTTCCCTGGTTCTGAGACCTTTGAGCTTGGACTAAGCCATGCTACTGACTTCCCAGCTTGCAGACAGCCTGTCATGGGACTTTTTAGCTACCATAATTGTGTGGGCCAATTCTCCCAATTAATCCCTTCTTATAT